AAGACTCCGTCTCAAAACAAAATAAAAAATAAAAATAAAATAAAATACATAGGAAAAGTTATCTCTGTGCTCCAGAATTCTCTGAAACCTAATTGTCAGATAGACTAGAGGCTTTCGTAGAAAAGTCAGTTGCTTTTTGTTTTCTGAAAATCATTTTGTCCTGGCGGGGGTGAAAAAGCCTCACTGCAGATAATCACATGTCAGGTGTTAAAATCCTTTACACGGGAGTTGCATAGAGCCCCTGCTGCCCAGAATGGTTCTTCTGAAAAGCTACTATTTGCGCTGTGTGGGTGGTTGCTCATTGAGGGGCAGAGCTGCTCTCAGTGAGCGGTGGGTCTCTCTCTGCCCTGGCTGTGTGGCTCTGTGGTTCTATCTAGGAAGTGTGAATCTCCAGTATAGTGCTGTGGAAGAGAGGGGCAGGGAAATGTGAACTCCAAAGGCGGTGCCTCAGTGCAACTGCAGCTGTGGAGAGCTAGCTGTTGGGCTGTGGAGAAGGATGTGGATCAGCACTGGATGAGACTTTGTTAGTGCATGTAGATACAGGGCGAGCTTACTCTTCATTTGCTTTTCATTTTCTTAAGGAGGCTGTTTGCTGGGATTTAATATTGTCTGTGGTGAATTTTCAGGTTCTGAGCATTTTTGCTCTTCAATATCCCAGCTACCAGAGACATAGGGAGAATGGGGCTAGAGGTAGGGGAAAGATTCTGAAATGTACCTTAATCCAGTCTCTTACACAGTCTTCCTTGGACAGGCTGAGGGGTTGGCAGAACATTATGTAAAAAGTGGAACTAACTTTGCTTTTTCTAACTGTTCCAAAGGCTACAAATACCCCAAACTTGCAAATACACAAACCTGCACACTTGAGCCTGTGTTCCTCCCATCCTTCTCCAAGGGATCAGAAGCAAGCTGAGGCCCCGTAGAAATTCTGCCAGCTGGGGAGGGTGTCTGGTTTTTCAAGCACAGTTGAGTGATTCAGAGTGAAGTAGGCTGGATGAGATCCTGGGAGCAGAGCATGCCCCAGGCCTGTATTAGTTTGAGGCAGCAGCAAAGGAGAGACCAATTTGTTTTCTCCTTCAGATGCAGATGAGTGGGTGAGATGGCTGGCTTTTTCCGGGTTGCCGCCAGCTGGAAGCTTTGCCCGCAGATGTGGACTGTTTATCTATGGTTCGATGTGTTTTCTTTTTTCCGTAGGACAGGATGGGGGAGATGGTGGGATGGATAGAAAGCAACAATGACAACAAAAGTTTAATTGGTTAGTAAGACAAGAAAGCCAGCAGGGAACGCTGACTTCCCTTAATTGCCAAGAATGTTGAAAGTTGTTTCCCAAAATTACCCCAACTCCTAAATTCTATCCAGTGCCTCTTTACTGAGAACCTCATATAGTGCCTTGTTTGAATAACAAGTTCAGTGATGGAGAAGAGCGTTGCCCTTGAGGTGCTTAAATAATTTAATGAGGGGGAAGGGGACAGTTATACATAAGCATTTAATTAGACACCATGAGCAGAGAATGCTATGGAAACCTGGAGGGGTGGGAAAGATCGTTTGGGGTGGGCTTTATGGGCTAGGAAAGGCTTCGTAGAAAAGTTGACAAATGTGATGTTATTTTAAAGGTCGAGATAAACTTGCACATTCCTAGGTGGAAGGAAAGCAAGGAATTGGGAGATTTTTTCTGTGAGCATCCAGCACTGACCAGAACTCCTGCTCTCTGGGGTTGTTAATGTTTCATCTCAGCCCCTGACGCACTGGTCACTTCAGTCACAGGGTCAGGAATTGTTCAGGCCCCCTTTTCTCCATATAGCTGTTTCCTTCCTTTGACTAGATCAGTGCTCTTAGCACAGAGGGATGGGGATGGGAGGGAAATTCATCAATTCAGGCTTTATATGTAGTTTGGTATACACCGAGTAGGGGTGAGAACCAGGATCAGTTGTTTTATAACATGGCAAATATGTATTGATTTCTTCACTTTAAAAAGCTTTATTGAGATACAATTCACATACGACACAATTTACCCATTTTAAGTACACAGTTTAAAGACTTGTGTAACGACAGCCACAATCTAATTTTAGAACATTTTTACCACCTCCAGAAAGAAACCCTGTGCCAACTCGCAGTCTTTCCCATTCTTCCCCCTCTTCCCAGCCCCAGGCAACCACAAATTTACTTTCTGCCTCTGATAGATTTGCCTGTTGTGGCTTTTTCATATTCGGTAGATAGAATCATACACTATATGGTCCTTTGTGACTGGATTCTTTCACTTAGCATAATGTTTTCAGGGTTCATCGATGTAGCATGTATCAGTACTTGATTCCTTTTTTATGACAGAAAAAAAAAAAAATCTTCCATTGAATGGATATACCACACTTTATGCATTCATCAGTTGATAGACATTTGGGTTGCTTCTGCGTTTTGACTCTTGTGAATAATGCCATTATGAACATTTATATGCAAGTTTTTGTGTGGGTGTATGTTTTCATTTCTCTTCTATATATTCCTAAGAGTAGAATTACCGTATCCTATGGTAACTCCCTGGTTAACATTTTGAGGAACTGCCAGATTGTTTTCCACAGTGACTGTACCATTTTACATTCCTACGAGCAGTGTATGAGGGTGCTGGTGGTTCTGCCTTCTCACCCACACTTTTGTTATTGTATGTCTTTTTTATTATGGCCATCCTATTAGATATGAAGTGATATTTCATAGTGGTTTTGATTTTCATTTCCCTAATAACCAATGATGTTGAGCATCTTTTCATGTACTTATTGGATCTTTGTGAGGAAATGTCCATTTAGCTCTCTCATGTTTTTTTTTTTTTCTTTTTTTTTTTTTAGTGAGTCTCACTCTGTTGCCCAGGCAGGAGTGCAGTGGTGCAGTCATAGCTCGAGTAGCTAGGACTACAGGCTCCTGCCATCATGCCTGGCTAATTTTAAAACAATTTCTTGTAGAGATGGGGGTCGTAATAGACTGGTCTTGAATTCCAGGCCCCAAGCAATTTGCGTGCCTCAGCCTCCCGAAGTGTTGGGATTACAGGTATGAGGTACCACGCCTGTACTCTTCCATCGTTTAATTAGGTTATTTGTCTTTTTATTATTGAGTTGTAAGAGTTGTTTATATAGTCGAGATGCCTGACTTTTATCAGAAATATGACTTGCAGATCTTTTCTCCAATCCTGTAGGTTGTCTTTTTATTTTCTTGATGGTGCGTTTGATGCACAAAGTATTTTAATTTTGATGAAGTCCAGTTTATTTATTTTGTCTCTTATTGCCATCCTTTTGGTGTTGTATTTAAGAAATGGTTAAGAAACTATTGCCTAGCCCAAGGTAATGAATACTCCTGTATTTTTTTTTTTTTGCGAACTTTATAGTTTTAGCTCTTACAGCTACGACTTTGATCTCTTTTGGGTTAAGTTTTCTGTGTGATGTAAGGAAGGGGCCCAACTTCATTCTTTCACCTGTGGATATCCAGTTGTTCCAGCATTTTTGTTGAAATGATTATGCTTTCCTCATTGAGGAAATTAACCATAACTGTGTGGTTTATTTCTTGACTCTCTTTTCCATTGATCTATGTGTTTAGCATCAGTGTTTTTAAAACTCCATAGATGATTCCATGTGCAGTTGAGATTGAGAACCATCTGGCCAGAGTGGGGAGTTTGGCTGGTTTGACTGGGAGACAGTACAGTGCGAGGTTTTTGTAATACTTCACTATAGGTGTGCAAACCATCATTCTTCACTAAGCCAGTATTCCCTAACCTTGCCCAATGAGAATTGCCAGGGATTCTTGTTAACAATAGATTTCTGGCCTCTATGAACTGGGGAGCACAGGGTCTGGTGGAGGGTAGGAAGGGATCAGCTTTGTGTGTGGCCTATGATTCTGGGTTCTTCCATATGGATATGGACACTTCGTACCAGTTGAAAATTCACCAGAACCTTCAGGAACCTGTGTATTTAATGAACTGTTCAGGTGTGTCTTATGATCAGGCTAGCTGAGGTGATGCTAGGTCTGCCAGGCAAGACCATTAGAAGCCTGTGTACCTGCACTGCGGTTCATCCACAGAATTGCTCTTCCCAAGGTACTCTTGAAGTGATGCCATCACCCTGTGATGATGCCATTGTCCTTGTCGTGTTTACTGTGCACACTTCCCCCGCCACCTTATTTAATATTGCTTTCTGCCAAATTTGTACAAATACTGTCGTACCCACAGTTCTTTCCTATCTGTGTTGTTTGCTTTGTTTACATTACATAGCACTTTTCAGGAATAATTAATTCATTTATCTTGTCTCTATCTACACCACTAGATTGAAATCCTCATGAGGGAAGGATTTTTATTTTTAATTTTTTTCATTTGAGTGCAATATTCCAAGCACCAACAACAGTGCCTAGCATACAGTATGCACTTGATAAATATTAAGTAAACACAAAGGTATTATTAGAGAATAATAGAGACTTGTCTATTTCAGCATCAGTAGTCATTGTGCTTGTTTTGTATGTCATGGTGCTGTGAATCATGGAAATAGGTGTTTCTGTCTTTGTACAGGCCACTCAAAAATCATTGCCTAAGCCAAGTATGGTGGCACACCTGTAGTCCCAGGTACTCAGGAGGCTGAGGTGGAGGATTGCTTGAGTCCAGGAGTTTGAGGCCAGCTTGGGCAACATCGTGAGACCTCGTCTCTTTAAAAAAAAAAGAAAAAGTCGTCACCATATTTATGTCCATTTTCTGCTAGGTCTGAACTAAATGACTTATGTGTCATGTGCTAACTTCTAACCTTTCCCCCCTCCCCGGTTTAATTTATCTTGCTGTATTGTGTGTGTCTCTGCAGACTATCTCAATCTTCTTTGGAAACTGGCTGGCTGAAAAGAAGTACTATTTAATCAGATTTGATGAGAAGTTCTTAACTTCAGCTCTCTAGGTCTGGCAAATTAAAACCTTGGATTCTAGATGGTAGAGGATAATTTTTTTTTAATGAATTGCTTTTTATTTATTTATTTATTTATTTCCTTTTTAGGATAGAATTTTTGCGGCATTTGAAGAGCTTTTTCCAGATTATGTTTAAAATTGAAACCAAGCCATGTGGTGAAGAACTCAAGGGCGGGGATAAAGTGCTGATGACCTGTGTTGGCATTGGTTTCTCCAACCTTAGCAAGACCCTCAAGTGATAACCATCACAAGATAAGGCCCCAGTGCCTCCAGACAAAGCAGACGCTGCCATGGACACCAATGGGACCAAGTCCAAATGGATTAATGCAGGACAGGATAGCCACGTGCTTAATTTTCTGTGAAGAAATATCAATATACAAATAAAAGACATCTCTGTAGCATGTGTTTCCAGCTGTTTCTCCAGTGGCGTTGCCATTGCCCAGGAGGCCCAGTCACCGTGAGAGCTCCCTTGCCTTACCTGGAGGAAGAATGTGCCTTCAGGCCACAGTCATGCTGCTAGAACAGTCTCATAGCTGCAGTTCAGCTGTGCTTCCTCAGCCTACTATCATAGACTTCCTTGGCCCTCTGTCATATGGCTGTTTTCCAAACCTGTGGAGTCTGTTACTGTTCTTTCTGCAAGGACTTACCTCCTTGAGCCTCGGTTTTTATTGTAGGGATTAAATGAGATAATATGAGTGGCAGCTCTTCATGAGTCCTGCAGTGCTATGCAAATGTCAGAAATTGGTATATTAGACTATTTATCTTTTGTCTTCTGAATGGATTGCTGTCATGGACACAGACACTGATCTTCATCTGGTTAATTGGATGTATATATGAGGGATGGGTGACTGCAGGGGTCCAAGTAAAGTTATTGGGATGTTTTTTATATTCTAGGTGTGCTATACATTCCTGTTTTATTTTCACAATAGCTCTGTGATGTAAATGCTATCTCCATGAGAAAATTCTTAAAGAGTGTTTCGTTCCTTTGAAATGTATAATGTAAAGACATTAAATCTCCTCATTTAAGGATCTAAGTGTAATAGAGTCAGGGATTTTACCCTTGCAAGCTAATAAGTTAGATTATTACTTTTTTGTTGATGCTTCCAAAAGACATGAGGATCCTGGGTCAGAGATAAAGAACTTTGTTACTCAGCATAGCATGAGCTTCATGTCTACATTGGTTTCCCCTGCTCCCCAGGTCTCACAGTGGACATGGAGGGGCCCAGGTAGATGCTATGCATGTTACAAGTTTGCACCATAGCCAAAGAACTTGTATGTTTGGGGACTCCACCTCTTTCATGGCAAGTCTGTTGTTTCACATGCAGACATTACTTCATCCCTTAAGACTGCCTCCTGCAAACACAGTTTTGAGAAAGAACTCAGGTAAAATCTCCCCAACAAGAATATGCAGGAATACCCAGGATCCATGGCAGATTTCCCCTGCCAACTAATAGAGTCCACATTTGATATGTGCATAGGCTTGAAGTTTGTAGAAGGGGAAATAAGTACTTCTTTCTACTAGAATTCCAAATGGTGTCCTCCCCCGGGGGCGAACTTTGCCTCATCACTCCCTCACAGTACCTTTTTCTTTTTAAGTGAAAAGGGGCTAGAGAAAGACTGTGCTTTGATGTCTAGGGGTGTGGGAGGATGTGTGGAGGTAGAGAGTTAACCTTGAGGAAGGCCAGGACATTCTGGATTATGACATTGTACTGAGAGCTTTACATACTGTATTGGTTATGTGCTCTTGGTATATAACAAGTGCTCACAAACTTAGTAGCTTAAAACAATACCTCTTTATCATTTCACAGTTCTAAAGGTCAGATATCCAGGCAGGTGGATTCTCTGCTTAGAGTCTCATAAGGCTGATATCAGGGTGTCTGTCACCTGGGCTGGGCTCAGCTCTCATCTGAAGGCTCTGGGAAAGAATGTGCTTCCATTCAGGTTGTTGGCAGAATTCAGGGTTGTAGGACTGAAGTCACCTGTTTTCTTCCGATTTTTCTTGCTGGCTGTGAGCTGTGGGCAACTCTTAGCATATAGACAGCCACTGCCCGTATTTCCGTTCACTTGGTCTCCCGTACCTTCAAGCTGGCAAGGGTGCATGGAATCCTGGTACTTTGAATTCACCTTCCTTTTGTGATACCAGCTAGAGAAAACATTGCTTAAAAATGACTCATAGCACAATAGTCCTACCTGGATTATCTCCCTATCTTAAGGTCAACTGACAACAGCAATACTGGATTTGTGTTTAAAAAACCAGGGGCTGGGAATAGTGGATTACCATCCCAGAATTTTGCCTGCCACACATACTGCAGTCCTACCTAGTGCCGCTGACGTTTGAACTCACATCTGCCCATATAGAGCTCAAATCCTGAACTAAGGGGCCACATTGCTTTTGGAATACCACATACCTGCTGTTCCTTGTACAAGCTCTGGAAATGGTGCTGTTGGTCAACGTAGGGTGGCACATAGAGGCCAAGCAAATTACTATAAGCAGTAGAGGGGATGTGTGCTACTGTCTGCTTCAAACCTGGAAACGTCTGGTGTGGTTCCAGCCCTGCATCTGGCAAAGCTGCTTCTGGAGTTGGAACATCTGGCAGGAGAGGTGATGGTATTGCCAAAAAGAGGACCAATTTAGTATTTATTTAAACAGCTCACTCCCAGCCCCTTCTCAAATTCCCAAGAAAAGCAATGTACCATTCCTTCAGGCAGAAGTCATCGTTTGCTGTTTGCTGGGACATCTTAGATCAAACCTTTAGTCACTGACAAATCTTTTAGTCTCTGCCTTTTTTCTAGTTTAGCTCCTGGTCGGTCCACTTACTTCCTGGGGTAGCTTGAAGAGAGAGATTCCAGCATTTTGGGGCTTGGTTTTCTATCTTGGTCTGTTTGTTCCTTTCTGCTGATAGAGATAGACCATTCTGAGTTAACGGCAGCAGTTGTTCAATGGGACTGTGAGTTTTTTAGGTAGATAAACCGGTGAACTTGTTGGGGGTCATGGCAGAATCATTCTTTGCCTTGTCATCTACAAGGCCCTGCGTCTGTCTTTCAACACCTTTTAACTACATTTCATGCAAACTCCAGCCAGCCTCCATCATGATGATTTTACCATAGTGGTCAAAACAGTTGGTAAGGGGTGGGAGGAAGCCAGCGTATTGCAACATGACATATTGATTGGGAAAGAGCAACAGGAGAACCTGCTGAATTCCACATTGGCCTCACTGGGCAGCTAAGCCTCAGGGGTTTTGTTCTTTTTTAAAATAATTTCTTTTTTGAGTTGGGATCTCACCCAGGCTAGAGTGCAGTGGTGCAGTCCTAGCTCACTGTAACCTCAAACTCCTGTGCTCAAGTGATCCTCCTGCCTCAGCCTCCCAAGTAGCTGGGACTGTAGGCATGAGCCACTGTACCCAGCTAATTAAAAATATTTTTTTAGAGATGGTGTCTCACTTTGTTGTCCAGGCTGGAGTTTTTGTGTGTTTTTTTCCAATTTAATTTTAAGTTCCGGGATACCTGTGCAGGACATGCAGGTTTGTTACATAGGTAAACATGTACCATGGTGGTTTGCTGCACCTATCAACGCATCACCTAGGTATTAAGCCCAGGGTGCATTAGCTATTTATCCTGATGCTCTCCCTTCTGGGTTTTCTTTATTTTAAAAAATCATTTCCAAAAAATGGTAAAGGATAGCTAATCACAGACCCAAATTACAAAAACAAAACTTCAAGTTGTACCATGGTGCCTGTCCTCACACCAAACAGCAGAAGACCATGAGGTGGCCATTTCCTGTTAGATCTTTGTGTTGGGAGGCTGCTAGGTGAGACCAATGCTGGCACTTAGTTTTAAGGCCACTGAGTAGAAGAGTTGAAGGTGCTAGAGGGAGGCAAAGGAAGTAGGCAGGATGGCGTACAAGAGGCTGGAAGCAGTTGATGAAGTCAAAGGTAGATGGGGAAACTGGAGCACCAGGGAAACAGAATTTCCAAAGTTTCGGCAGTGCCTGAGGTGAGGGTGGAGGTCAGCTGGGGGAGGGGGAATCAGAGTGATAAGTGGATTTACTGGGCCTTTGTTCCAGGGTATGAGGATTAGAATGTGGGGTTCCGTTGACCTTCCCAGTTGGTAGTGCTGTAGACCTGGGGTGTACAGGTGGCAATTTTAATCTGCAATGAGTGGGAATGCAGCACTGCAGGGCCTGTGCCCACCCAGGATCTCCATTGTCCCTTACCCGGCTCCAGAGTGGACAAGAAGTAGCTTGCACTTGGATTTCCATGTTCAGATGGTGCTGGCCTGTTCTTTAGAAATGACTGAAAGTTAATGGGATTGTCAATAGGCAAGCTGGGCCTTTTTGTACTTTTCTTGGCCACATCTAAGAGGCCATTTGAGTGGAACACTTTATCAGTGTTTGGCATCTAATGAAGCCTGACCCACGTCACTCCTTTACTGCAGCAAATGAAAGCTGTCCGGTTGTCACAGGCCTGGGCTGAGCACAGGCCTTGGGTCAGCACCTGTTTTAAAACATCCTAGATATTTCAGATATTCAAGTGCCTCTGAGGGCTCAGGACATTCTTTATTCTGTTTCCTCCTCATTCCCAGCCCTCTGAAGAGCCTGTGTCCAAAAATCCTCAGATTGCTTAATTTGTTAATTTATTTCTGCCACAATTTGGTACATTACATATTTCAAAGGATAGAGAAATCAGAGGCCAACTTAAAGAGAACAGATAATGAACAAGCCTGGCTAAAAGATACGTGCTGCCATGTCTGTCCTCGAATACCCTGTTACCACGGCTGCGATAGAGTGCTGGGGCTGCTGCCGGACTCCCTGGGAGCCATCTGGGCAACTGGTCTCCATCTTGGGAAAAAATGATGCCCCAAAGGTAAGGCCAGCTGCTGCTTCCTGCTACATCTGGGGATGTTGAACCATCCTGAAGTTCTTTGTAATCTTCAAGGAAGTATGTTAGTGTTTGAAATGGTACCTGGCTTCAGTTGTGGCAACCCAACCTTAGGCTGTTGTAGGTGCTGTGTGCAAGCATTTGGTTCCTGGGCCCTCCCACATGCTCCCCTCTTGGCCCTAAGCTCTGTTTTGACCACCTTGCTATTTACCCATTAGACAATGAAAGGCATCGTGCCTAAGATCTATAAGCTTTGAAAGACCTATGAAATGCTTGCAAGAAACCAGGAAAAATAATGCTGGCTATAAATTATGCAAAGAAAAGAGCAAGAAAAATATCTATAAAATGAAACACTATCTTCATTTTTTTCATAATTGTTAAAATATTGACAATAATATAGATGAGAATTTCTTTTTTCACAAGAATTTATAGTTTTAGTATATGTTCTGCCAAAATGAGCATGTCACAAGAATTTCTAAGTGCACGCAGTGGTTGCCAAGGAATCCGAGCTAAGCACGTTAAATTAGTTGCTGATCACCAAGCCATTTAAAAGGCAAAATTGTAAATAGTCTTTCAGAGATTTGGGATAGGGCTACGTCTTATTTTGTTTCTTTCCTTTCTTAAGTTTTTAAAAAATAGAGGTAGGGTTTTGCTGTGTTCTCAAATTCCTGGGCTCAAATAATCTGCCCACCTCAGCTGCCCAAAGTGTTAGAATTACCGGCATGAGCTACCACACCCAGCTGAGCTACGTTTTAATATGTGTGGTTCGATAACGCTCTCATAAGACACCTAGAAAGTAAAACCCTCTAAGCCTGTGCCTCTCTTGGAGCCACCTCCTCAGTCTTAAAGCCTCAGCTGTTCGTGAGGAAACCCTCTATCTCCACGATACACCCGCTGCTACAAGTTCTCATAGATGCCTCTCCCCGTCCTTACCTTAGTACTCACTGCACCCCGTCATTGCTTAATTTTCCACTCTCTTCACCTATGGTGGTAGGGGCCATCTTTTAAGATTTGGTGTGTCCATGATCTTAAATTTTTTAAGTCTCTATTAAAAATCAATTACATTATTCGTGAGAGAAGTTTTTGGTATCTTTTTTAAATACGTAAAAGAAAGCTGGCTGGCTTCTTGAATTTCAGTAGTGCATTGTGGAAATAACATAGGC